TTTCATAATAAATATTGTTTATTTTGAAATTTTTATTTTATTTGTATATTCGAATGTATACATTTAAGTGCGCCTAATAAGTGTATTTTTTTTTATAAAAAACATTTTTTCTCAACTGAACAATGTTTTTAGTGCACAGGGAAATCTCTACTGTTCTCCCGCAATGTGTATATTGGGACACCTATTTTTGGTATTTATTTTTCAAGTAATATTTTTATTAAGTATTCCACCCACATATCTTTATTCTATTCGCAATATGTTTAAGAATTTTATTTTGAATTTTGTTTATATCGAAAAGCTACTTGTAGGCTTTTATTTCTATTTATGGGTGTTGTTTGTTGTTTGTTAATTTTAATTCTTTTATGGTTCTACTCACGTATCTCTCTCCTGTTCTTCCGCAATATGTATGTGTATTTTATATTTGGGTCCAGATCCTCAGACTCCATCCTCCCGAAGTGGCAGTGTATTTGTGGCGTCTTAACGTACGCTGGTACCAGTTTCTGTAATTGTTTGCAACTTTACTTACTAGTTTTAGTTGTTATCACATCGGGTTTAAAGGGTAGTAAGTCATTTTTAATTTGCACACCCTTCCTTGTGCCTTTCAATTAGGGTTCGTTCAAACAAATGCTCACCTTCACTTCCACGTAGACGGGGACATAGCTGGGTTTCTTCTTTTTCTTGGATCCTTTGAGTGGGAATTTAGGGGTTTTAGGAAGGGAAAAGTGCATTAGTTAGGGGGCACAAAAATGGGCGTGTCAAAAGCGAGTAAGCGACTGCAGCACCGCGATTACGATTCTGATTGAGATTGATGGGATGGAACAAAGTGCAGCAGGCGAAATTCGCATTGTGCTCGCCTCCATTTAAATGCAATGAATGAGGCGGCGAAACTTTGCTCTTCTCTTATCTTTGCACCAGGCAATGGAAAATCAAATGAGTTGGATGCCTGGCCAGGCGATTCAAATTAAAAGTTACAAAAGAAATGAATTTTCCGACCGGCGAAACGAAAATGAGGCCCTTAAATATTTATGATGTGAAGTGGGCGGCGCGAATCAAAGTGTGGGCCAAGATTTTCGTTTGATATCAAGTTGGGCGGGCTAAAAAATTTATGCATCGCCAGAATGGAGAAGACCGGGTGAAATGGAGGCGGAAAAAACTGAAAAACTAAAACTTTTGAAATTAAAATCTTTTTTGACAGAAACAAAGGAAACTCGCGTAATGCATCATCATATTTACCGTTTTCAGTATCTGAGCTGGCTGAAAGTATTATTTATTATTAGGAATTTGTATAATGTGGTTGGGGAAGAAGAAAAGTAATTGTATGCTTTAACCAGGCACAATACCTAAGAAGGGAACAACTCGCAGGCATCTAAAATAAAATGCAAACAACAAAATGTAAGCATAACATCTTACTTCCTTTTACTATTTAAATAAATAAACATATTTAATTTAGATCCAACTATAACGACTTCTCATTAATGTTTTTAAGTACCTTAAAATGTTTGTTTTATTCAAATTAAAGACTTAATCTAAAAATCAATAGTTGTTTTCGGAATAAAAAGATATTTCGGATATTTAATAATTTTTAATGATTTATGATTCAGTAATATAAAATCCATGGTGGATTCAAATTGCACGATGAGTTAATTGTTGACTATGATTATGATTTGTGACTGTGATTTATGATTGAAAACATTTTTAAAACAGTATAGAATTATCTAAGCAAAAATTCTAAAGTGTTCAAAATGGTATAAAAAAAAAATGGTATAACTTTTACAACTAAAATAAACCAAATTAAGCTATAGTACCGGGTATCTGGTTGTATATTCTCTAATTTATTTATACCACTAACCATACAACATATGTTGTATTTTGTATGATAAGTGTTTATACTTACGTCGGGACCGCGCTGAGCTCTTCCCGCTTCCGGCGACTGTTGCTTCCTCCTCGCCCTCCAGTTCACCCTCCACCTCGGCATCCGTGGTTTCGCCACCCGTGTTGGCCTCCTCTGCGTGCTCCTGATCTCCACCAACGGCTGGTGCCGCCTGATCCTGTCCAGCCTTCTTGCGTCCCTTTGCGGCGGCTCCTGCCGCAACTTTTCCAGCGGACTTGCCACCGGCCATTCGGGCATCGCCGCCCTTCTTCTTGCCCTTGCCCTTCTTATCGGGCACAGTGGGCGGGGGGCGTGGCACCTCCTCTAGCACCGTTATCTCCTCTTCAATGAGCTTGTCATAGAAGGTGCGCCAAACGAAGAGGACCACATAGTCCAGATCGTTTTGGGTTTCATAGCGTCGTCGGAAGAAAGCGTCCACGGCGGACATGTTTGAGTTCATGGTGGCATTCACATACTTGGGCTCGAAAACTCCCAGCAGATTGGAAATAATCGTCTTTAGCCAGACAACGCGGGGCTCATCATTGCTGAAGGTTTCGGGCGGGGCATCAACACTCCCCGTCGCGGATTCGAATTGGGTTTGCGACATTGTGGCTGGGCTAGCACTTATTTGAATAGGTCCTTCAAAGTGGGTGGTGGTGGCGTGGGTCCTTTACTTGCTCTCTTTTTTGGTTGTCTTTCTGCCACGTCGGCGTCTTCGCGCGGCTGCACATCAAACGTTTGCCTTGATTTCGCAGGATTTCCCCTGCCAGGATACCTTCTCTCTGGATGCTCGCACCCACCTTTCCGCTTTTGTTGCTCTTTCAATCAATTTCAACTGGTTTCGTTTCCGCCTAGCGTATTTACTGTTGGGCGCCGTCTGCAAATCCTTTTGTGTATCCCAGGACAACAGTTGCGGCTGCAGCCACCGCGATGGCCAACTCCAACGCCAGCCCCTCCAAAAACCGAATATGAATGCCGCCTTCGAATGCTGCCACTGGCCCACACAGGTATACACAATTTGTTAACAACGTTTGATGAAAGTCACTACTTCCATATTCCTGACGAAAATATACAGCAGGTTTACTTTGATTCTGGTTTAAAGACGTCGAATAATAGTGGCGTTGTTTAAAATGTTTATGTTGCTTGTTTTGATTCCATTTCCCCGGTTATGCGTTTGGTTGCCTTGACTAGTTGTTGTTAGGGTAAAAAGCACCCAACTACACTGGGAAAATTAATAAAGAAGAATGGGAATAATAATAAAAATATTTTGATAAATATAAAATGTGCCAGAGAAATAAAAAACTTTTTACGTGCAGTATATTTCGTTCTTAAAACAAAAAAAAAAAAAACACTTCAGTCAGACATCCATCTATAGAGCATGAGGTACCCGGTTCTAATCCCAGTCATGAGATGTTCTTTAATTTGTATATACAAAAATGTTGTGTCTTTACGAACAAGAAATTTGGATCTACTAATTTTGATAAGTTTTTTAGGCCATTTATATTAATTTCCATGAATTTAATTTTACTTGTTTTAAGTACAAAACAGGCATGGTTTGAGTAGAGTTCTTATTTAATTTAAGAACTATTGCTCGGAAAATATAGACAACGAGCAGATTTCGAACTTGGCTCCCTTTCATTCATTTTTTCACCAATGAATCTGGGGTTTTTTTCTTGAGTGTAACACCCACTACAGCCGATTTAATGTAATTTTCTGTTGCCCTTTCCCGGTGGCTGGTTACCTGTCAGCCACACTTGCATCATGCATTCAACAACAGTCGAATAGCAATTGTTGAAGGAACGAAACCCTTGGAAGCTCTGCACCTCCTGCCAAGCTATGGTGCTCACGCCGTTGCGTAAACAAAACACGCAGCCCTGACTTAATGGCTATGCACATTAGCAACGTGCCAGGGACTTTCCCAGTTGCCAGTTGCACTGGTCTCCGGGTCAAGTAGTAGCCCCTCAGTACCTATATAGGACCATAAATGGAAATATTTACTCGGCACCGCCAACACGGCAAAGTGAGTGGACGCCGTAATGGAGTGAGATTGTGGGCTAAGTAAAAGTGCAAAAGTCAACTTTGCCAGCTTTGAAATTGCCTAACAACCGACTGCCGCCAAAGCTCCGCCTTGATTACTTCACTCAAATTGCATTCTGCTATTCTCATTGCTGCCAGCAAGGTTGCGCAATCAAAGTTCGCTGCCGATCAAATGTGCTTTACAAATCAAGTCCATGGGTTGTCAATTGATTTTTCATTAATTCTAAGATTTAACTACTTTTCATTTGCCTTGGAAATTCGTTATCTGGCTAATGTGTTTTTTAATAGACTGTCTCAGGTACACAGCAAAAATCAAAACTGTAATTCGGTTTTCCAAGAAAAATGTCTATTAAAATTGTGTATAAACCAAAAAATTTTTAATATTCTTTATTGGGTATACAATTTAAAAAAAATATTAAATTCAGACAAATACAATTATTTTATAATAAAAAAAAAAGTCTCTGAAAAATGCATTTGTATGACAATCAGATTTTTGATGCGTGTGGCTGTAACTTATGAGGGTTTTTTTAATCGCCATATATTATATAAATTTTATGCATGTAAAACATTTAAGTTCAAATTATAAACAAAAAAACATTGATATTAATTTTCATTATTTTGTACGCAAACTAAAAAAAACGATAGTTAAATTAAAAAAAAATACATGTGTTTGACAATCCGGATAGCTTACAGATGCAGCATATAGTGATTTTTTCAATTAAATATGAAACTTTAGTTTAAAATTATTGATTATACATTATTAAATGCTTTCAGTGTTTGATATATATAAATATACCTCAAAATATAAACATGTGAAACTTTATAGTTTTAGTTTGTAGTTATTACATTGTCTTACACTTGCAGTGCACATGGATTTTACCAAAAACGTCACAAGATTAAAAAAATAAATTAATCTCGTTTTGGTAATAATATACTTTAGTCGTATTTTTGGGACAAAAACCTTAAAAAAAAGATATTAATATTTTCTAAAAGTGTACATATATCATAGCTTCAAATGCTGTCAGACAGCATACAGTTAAACTAAGAATAAAATATAATATTTTCTTTCCTGAAAGTCTTAAAAATTTATAAATTAATCCTTGGTGTTGGTGTCCGCCTTCCATGCGAGGCATTTGGGATCAAGTTCCAGTCTGGGCTTGCTAAACTGCGGCAGCTTGAGGCGTGCTGCGATTATGCTGGGCATAGTGCAAATGACGTTGGCGCCTTTAAAGTACTTGATCATTTTCATAACCTGCAGCGCGTAGATGATGTCCTCCTTTAAGAAACCGGTCGAATCGCTGAGTTCCTTGAGGGTAATCTTCTCTGTTAAGGCGTGGTTATTCAACTCTTTGAGAAGGGTGTAGCCCCAAAAGCCGCGATAGCAAAGTTGGCCCATAAACGATAGTGGCTTCTCTGGACCGCCAATGAAGCCCTCCCTGCGTGAGATCACATAGCTCAAGGCGATCAACAGCTTTCCATAGCCTTTTCGCTGGAATGGCGGTAGGACAAGCAGGCAGGCCACATTGAAGTTCTCCTCCGAGTCCTTGTCCCTGGCATAGTAGCCCACAATATGCTCGCCATCCTGTTCCTTCACACACATAATGTAAAAAAAGAATGGAGCGGGATCGTAGAACAAGCCCTTGTATTCCAGGAAAAGCTTGGACAAGAGGCAAAGAAACTGGCAGTAGAGGGTATTCTCGTTGCCATCCACCTCGTAGATAAATATATCGTTCTTTCGGTAAATTAAGCATCCTGGCGGAGCCCTCTGCTTGCAGTCGTATAGATGATAGGCGTAGCTCTTCCGCATGCTCATGTACTTCAGGCAGAACTCACAAACGTAAATGATTGGCAACTTGCCGAATTTACCAGGATAGGGACTACTGTACCAGGTTTCAATCTCGTAACGTCCAAATTGAACTTTTTCAATGTACCTTTTTGTCGTATTCTTGGCTTCCTGTTGTTTTTTCTTCTTGATGTTTAGATCTTGCTCGCTTTGAAGGTTAGTCAACTTCATCTTCTTGGTTGACGAATGTCCGCCAAAGTCCTTCTCCTTTTCCGATATGTGGTGTATGTCCACCCAGGCATCTGGTTTTTTGCCTGCACCAATATAGCGAACGTAGTACTCGTCAGCTACATATGAGTTATTTGATTTTCGAAATTTAAGCAATTGCCCCTGGTGAACGGTGCCATCTTCGCCTAGTATGTAGTATACATCATCGTTAATTTGGATATTTTCCAAGAGGGGATCACTGGAGATACCATTGGAGGATTCTTTTACCTCTGGAGTAGGCAGTTCAATGAGCTCCTCCTCTTGTTTTTTTTCGATCATGTCCTTTTCGCCTAAGGAAAAAGCTATTGGTTCTGTGATCTCCTCCAGAAAATCCTCTTTGGTATTAGGCACAATCGCTGAAGTCTCTGGAATCTCCTGGATCAATTTGAAGTGTGTACCTTTCTGCGAAATTGCGACATCGTCGCTATCCTTCTCAAGGATGTCTGGAATCTTCTCCTGAGCCGAAAGATCTCCTGAAGTTGGTATATCCCTCAAAACGCATTTAGAAATCTCCTCCAGAAAATCTTCTTTGGGCACAATCGCTGAAGTCTCTGGAATCTCCTGGATCAATTTGAAGTGTGTACCTTTCTGCGAAATCGCGACATCGTCGCTATCCTTCTCAAGGATGTCTGGAATCTTCTCCTGAGTCGAAAGATCTCCTGAAGTTGGTATATGCCCTATGGCGCCTTCAGAAATCTCCTCCAGAAAATTCTCGTTGGGTTTAGGCACAATCGGTGGAGTCTTTGGAATCTCCTGAATCAATTTGAAGGGTGTACCTCCCTGTACAATTGGGACATCGTCGTTATCCTCCTCGCAGATGCCAGGAATCTTCTCCTGAGTCGAAAGATCTCCTGAAGTTGGTATATCCCTTAAGGCGACTTTAGAAATCTCCTCCAGAAAATCTTCTTTGGGCACAATCGGTGGAGTCTCGGGAATCTCCTGGCTCAATTTGGAGGGTGTACTTTTCTGCAATATTGGGACATCGTCGTTATCCTTCTCAAGGATGTCAGGAATCTTCTCCTGGGTCGTAGGATCTCCTGAAGTTGGTATATGCCCTATGGCGCCTTCAGTTATCTCCTCCAGAAAATTCTCATTGGGATTAGGCACAATCGGTGGATTCTTTGGAATCTCCTGAATCAATTTGAAGGGTGTACCTCCCTGTACAATTGGGACATCGTCGTTATCCTCCTCGCAGATGCCAGGAATCTTCTCCTGAGTCGAAAGATCTCCTGAAGTTGGTATATCCCTTAAGGCGACTTTAGAAATCTCCTCCAGAAAATCTTCTTTGGGCACAATCGGTGGAGTCTCGGGAATCTCCTGGCTCAATTTGGAGGGTGTACTTTTCTGCAATATTGGGACATCGTCGTTATCCTTCTCAAGGATGTCAGGAATCTTCTCCTGGGTCGTAAGATCTCCTGAAGTTGGTATATGCCCTATGGCGCCTTCAGAAATCTCCTCCAGAAAATTCTCGTTGGGATTAGGCACAATCGGTGGATTCTTTGGAATCTCCTGAATCAATTTGAAGGGTGTACCTCCCTGTACAATTGGGACATCGTCGTTATCCTCCTCGCAGATGCCAGGAATCTTCTCCTGAGTCGAAAGATCTCCTGAAGTTGGTATATCCCTTAAGGCGACTTTAGAAATCTCCTCCAGAAAATCTTCTTTGGGCACAATCGGTGGAGTCTCGGGAATCTCCTGGCTCAATTTGGAGGGTGTACTTTTCTGCAATATTGGGACATCGTCGTTATCCTTCTCAAGGATGTCAGGAATCTTCTCCTGGGTCGTAAGATCTCCTGAAGTTGGTATATGCCCTATGGCGCCTTCAGAAATCTCCTCCAGAAAATTCTCGTTGGGATTAGGCACAATCGGTGGAGTCTTTGGAATCTCCTGAATCAATTTGAAGGGTGTACCTCCCTGTACGATTGGGACATCGTCGTTATCCTCCTCGCAGATGCCTGGAATCTTCTCCTGAGTCGAAAGATCTCCTGAAGTTGGTATATCCTTTAAGGCTCCTTTAGAAATCTCCTCCAAAAAATCATCTTTGGGATCAGGCACAATCGGTGGAGTCTCTGGAATCTCCTGGATCAATTTGGTGGGTGTACTTTTCTGTACAATTAGGACATCGTTCTTATTCTCCTCGCAGATGCCTGGAATCTTCTCCTGAGCCGAAAGATCGCCTGTAGTTGGTACATCCTCTATAGCGCCTTCAGAATTTTGAAATATCTCTGTTAACTCGATCTGGTGAAATACGTTAATAAATGTTAAATACATTTTTAGTTTCGAGATTTGTCTCTCTAGAACTCACCGTTTCCCATGAGGTTTGACTATCAGAAGTATTGTTATCCATAAGGTCTATTTGGTCCTCATCAATTCTGATCAAGGAAAGGGCTGCTAATGCAGATGGCACATCATCCACAGATTCAGGCATATTTTCATCATGATCCTCTTGGTTTTTTTCCTGCTCAATTGGATTATTCTCCTGCTCTGCCATGGCTAAAAAATCTTATTGCGTATTTTTACCTTCTAAAAAACGTGCTTTTAAGTTGTTTAGTGATGACACTTGTGGCGTGATAACGATGTGTTTTATCGATAATTACCAAAAATTGCAAACGTGCAATGCCTTTCAAATAACAGGGCTGCCACATAGTTTAAATAAAAAATATCTCAATAGGATTCTGGCATAAAATATGTTTAAAAATAAAACCTAAATTTGATTATGAATATTTTAATTAAGAATACAACTTTTTATTTTGGTCTTGAAAGAAATTGTTTTGAATACACCATTGTGTACGAATTATATTTTCTTTTAGCAATCGATATTAAGGTTATTAATTTTTTTTTAGGTGTCGCGGTGTAAAGTGATAATGTAGATTTCTTTTGAGCAAGTGTTGTTGTAGTTGGATTTTCCATTAAATTGCCTAGATTTTGTATAACAATTACGTGGAATGCATAAAAAGCTATCAAAATAAATACAGCAATATTAACAAAAATCTCAATTAGTCGGATTAACCCCATCCGCCCATCTCCTCTTTTTTCTCTTTGTGTAGAAAATGTTTGGCGATATTGGCTCAGTGAGGCACGGCACATCCTGGCTACCTTGATCTATCGAAGCCGCCAGTGCGAGGACTACCCAGCTCAATACTAATTAAAATAAATGAACATTTACGTCGTCACAGCAGGATGGGATGTGGGTTAGGGGCTAGGAGTTTCGCCAGGGCGAAAGATTAGGTGACGAGCAAGGGCAACGGAGACATCATTAAAATGCATGGTTCAAACGGTGCGTATACTTAATATAGATTGGATTGAGAGTGTGTGTGTGTGTGTAGGGATGGGTTGTGGATGTTAATGTGGATGTGGATGCTGGCATCCTGGATGAGTTGGCTCCTTTCGCTACCACATTCGCTTGCGGTGGCTGTAATCTTTATGCGTCATGTTTTTATTTGTATTTATTATTGCGTCTGCGGAGAGCAGAGCAGAGCAGAGTATTGCGAATAGCACACTTTGTTTGCAGGTGAAATATTCCACGCATCCAGCGAAATGAGAATTTATTGACTTCGCTCTACAAATGTGCGTATGTGTGTGTGTCCTTTCTGTAAGTGTCTCTGTTTGTGTAGCAACGTTTCCGCTTGAATCCTGCCAGGACTCCACCTTCCACCCCCTCGCGCATGCACCCACTGCATATTTATCTACGTCACACGAGTTTGATAAACAGAACCATCGCTTGGAGACAAACTCGGAGGCAGCCTTCCTCTGTTTGCATTTGTGCTTAATAACTTTTAAATGATGCGGGGCGTGCCTTTGAGAACGAAGCCAACTGCAAGGAGGTGCTGGCTCCTGGGTCACAGGTTCCTTGGCTCCTTGGAGCCATACCCCACAATTAGTGCAATAAAGTTACTATCTTGCGCCAATAGGGACCCAGCCCTCTTCCAAAACGAGCCATCTAGTGCATATGCAAACATCTAGGGGGAATTCTGCAATATTCTTATGCAAAGTAATCAGATTTTAAATAAAGAACGCTGTACACCCAAACAAAAACTGTCATTTAAACTTAACAATTGTAACATAAATTTTAAACTATTGGGTATACAAAATTTCTTAATATGATGAGTATTAAATTAGTACCACGAAAATATCAAAATAAAACTTACGTAGTTTAAAAACGAGGCAAAGACGGAAAAAAGTATAGGGGTTATATTATTTAGTATTGAATTAATAATTATGCTTAAATATTGAAATTAGTTTATATTATATTATTAATATTAAAAAACTAGGTTTAATTTTTGGTGTAGCAAGGGGCTTGCCAAAAAAACGAATGTTTTTGAAAACATTAATGTTCATTTCAATTTATAACTATTTTGTAATCAAAATGCTGTTGTTGTCAGTTATGGATGAAATTTACTTAGGCTCGATTATATATGGGCTGTGAAAACGAAAAAACATCCTTTTTTTTTGTGTCTGGTACATTGCATTGATGAACGTAGTAAAAATGCTTGAGTATAATTTGACTGCGTTCAGGTTTATTAATGTTTTTAGTGCTGCATATAAGCAGCTTTGTAAATTTGAAATCCCATGCCAACACCTGACGCCGAATCAATACCTCTAGGCCCTTGACCTGTTCGGTGAAGATAAGCACAGGGGCTCTCAATAGGCTTTGGAATACGGTTTCCATGGGGCCAGCAGCTGGTGATGGGATTGGCCTGGCTTTTGTTTAGCTAGCCGAACAGTTGGAAAATGGTTACAAACAGTTTTGAAATGCCCATAATTGATGCAGGAGGTGCAGGCACCTCAAAGCCAGGCAATCGCACTTCAATATGCAGAGGAATACGAATCGAAATAAGTGCGGTCAGGCATGTTGGCAAGGATTCAGCACGCAGGACGCAGGATGCAAGGCCCAAATCTGAGCTTAGCCATGTTGTGTTAATTAATAAACTTGGTCTACTTTAAGATGATGCCTTTGCAATGGCATCCAGTAGATTGCCATGGCATCCACATCCACATCCAAATTCACATCCAGGGCCAGCCAAAGCAGCCGTAACCGCAACGATTTGAATGCAGTTTTGTCTGCCACAAAAGCCGAATTCCAGCAACTGGCAGAGATTGCATGCTTTGCGGATACTTAACGAGTCGACGCCTGAGGAGCGGGCCAGTACGGAACGATGCCCTCAAAGCCGTATAATTGGCCAGCGATGCACCATCAACGCTTGGCCTGGATACTCCACACTCGGTACTCTATACTCGATACCCGATATACACACTCGATCTATCCCTTTGAGCATTGGCCAAATGCCGCATTTTTGAAGTAATAAAGCGCAGTTCAATCTGAACTGAGTGTGCCTGTGTTGTGGTTGCACTGAACGCCAATTACACCAGTCAACAAGGTTTTTTAGTCGTTGTTTTTGCGTGTTTAACTTTCTTTAACATTGAAAAAATGTATATCTAGCATACATACAAAAAAACTGAAAGTTTAATGACAGTGCTATGAACTTCCCACAGTTTTAAAGTAAAAAAATACGAATTTTCTATGACAAATTTATTTTGGGTGTAGGTTTATTAAACTGTCATCGAATGTTCCTTATTAATCAGATTATTTATTAGCTTAGCAAAATTAAAATCAAATAATATATACAAAGCACAAGTCAATTTTGGCAAGATTTATTAACAATGAAGCACTTATTAGGGTAATATTTAACATTCTTAACAAAAAGTCAGTAAATTAAAAATAAGACGGAGATTCAAAGATTTAGAATTTTGAATGAGCTATAACAAAATTTTAACTAAAGAATTTACTTATAAACCATTAATAATTTTAATGAAACGTTTATTTCTGGTTAAAGAGAGATTGATTTTTAATATTTATTAACAATGGAGCACTTAAAGGGAAATGTCTTAGAAGAGGTTCATTAATAATAAACAGATTTAAAAATGGATCTTTGCTTTTTATCTTCTGCAATTCATTGAGCTCAAGTTTTGCAGTAGTCTGTTTTAGGATATTCCCATTTCGTTTGCTCCTCCTCGTTCCAAATCATTTGGTATGCCCTTTAGTGCGCTGGCTAATTAACATAGCCAGTGATTGCTGAGCTATTTCCAATTACCTCCAGCCCAGCCCTTCTGCAAACGGTGAAAAGTTTTTACAAAAATTCTAGCGTTGTCTTCAACAATATTATTCAGAATCTTGGCCATTCCGAAAACCACCACCCATAAACCTCTCTCGCATAAGCAATGTGAAGTTTTTTGGCCACAGTTGGAAAGTTTTTTGACTGACTCAAGTTTTATCATATTTTTGCACAGTCAAATCTCGGCGAATAAGTCTCCGCTGCTCCGACTCTCGGTTCAATTTGCATACAGAATTTGAGCATTATTTTTATTTACCTGATTCAGCGCTGATTTATGATTTTATCGTGAAAAATGCAGAGATGCGGCGAGCGAAAGGACGACGAAGACGACAAGGACTTGGAAATGGAAGTGGATGTGGACGTGGAAAGCGAAGCTCACGGAAAGTCAATTGAAATGCAAACGTGGCCGGTGGCTTGGTATCCGGTGGTCGGGAGTGGAATGGATTCGCCTGCTCCTCCTTTTGTTTGGGGTACACCATTGCCTTTGGCTATAACTCAAAAGCTGGAGCTTTGTTGCCCAACGATTGCCCGCGCGTCACGTGTTTTCATTTGGCGCCTCTCGCTTTCGCTTTGTGGCAAGTGGCAAGTGCCCGGGGGTATTGTCACGTCATAGGAAGTTGCAGGCGACGTCATTGACTCATAAATAAAGTTAGAGCCACAAGGATGGTCGAAGAACCAATTGCTTTGAAACAATTTCGACCGAGAATCGGCTTTGGAGGATGTGCCTAGAATGCAAATCTTCCTGTCAACTTCGAAAGCCGAATGATGTGGCAAAGGCACCAGTTTTCTTATTTCTACTAAAGTTAGTATCAATTAAAAATTTTTAAGAACTACAAAAGTATTAAAGCAGTTGTCAAAATAAAAAAATTTGTTGCAAAACCCAACAATTTTAGTGACAATATTGGCTTGGAAACTAAAGCTATATTTACAAATATTATTGTCTCACGCCATTGCTCAATCTTTCAACACTTTCTTCATTATCTGAAGTCATGATGAATCCACACCTGAAATCAAGAATTTTGTAAGAGAAGTAGATGAGACATTTAATTTTTAAAAATTGATTAGTTAACTAAATCCTTTAATGATATGGTTCATTATATAAGTCATCCTTTTTGTGCACCTCATTCTATGTTTATATTTTGGTAGTGCCCAATTATAATTATTATTTAAACTGTATTTACCCAGTTTTCTAAACATATAAATTATCACAAAAACTACAACTTTTTTTTTTTAAATAACGACGTTATTTAATTCGTCAATCCTTCTTTTTTTTGTGAAGCCAATATGAATTCCAAAATGACAGAAACACAAGAAGCTATCAAATATTTCAACAATTTTTAACGATGTAACGTACCAAGTCTCAGGAAAATCGGCTTAT